AGATAAAACCAAGTTACTTACAGAAATGTTTTCCTTCCTCACAACCCCCCTCTCTGCTGCCACCGGGTCCCCACTGTACCTCACTTCCCAACATCTCCATCTGCCCTAAGCAGTGCCATTGACAGTGATCTGAAAGGAAGCAGAAATGGCTTTATTGTCATTTTTTGAAGGAAGGGGGAAATTTTTGTCCAAAATAAGCTTTGAGGAAGTTTTGACATGGCAGAGCAACCTGAAAGTCCTGTGGGATGGAGAACAGCCTTCCCAGTGTACTAGCACGGGTCGTTTCTATGCTGATTTGTGAGACGATGTTGTGGGAAATCGGGAGATGTTTTTGCTAACTACCCTAAAAAAAGAAATCATATACTATTTGGAGGTTGGTAGTAGGTAAAAGAGAAGGATGTATTTTTTTTGCCTCTACAAACGTGATGCTGGTATGCCAAGAACCACACAACATGGAAACAACCACACATCATGGAAATTCTCATTAACTGTTAGCATATATTTGATTTTGAGAGATGTGGAGCAACTCTGACCCAGTACAAGGAAGTTATGCTTTTCTTCAGCTTACATAGAAACAACCATTCTGCGTCATGCAAAATGTCCATCCAGGTCAGGATCCGGTTCCCAACGTGGTTATCAATGGATACTTAGACACAGCGCAACCGCTCCTTCCCGGCCCCCGTGCAGTTGCAATGCCTGACTGCACACTCTGGAGCGGTCACTGTGTGAGCCCACGCTGGGCTCGTGGTTGCAGCATAATACTGAGAATAAGGAAAAACTTTGGTTTGTTTTGTTGCCGGTGGTTGCAGAGCCTGCCAAGCAGGTCACTGCGAAGCAAGAGGTTGTCCTCTGCACTTGGTGGAGCTCGGTCTGGGTGCGTGAGGGACCGCAGCCATCTGGTGGTCAAAAGTGATCAGGCAGCGTTATTTCTTTTTAAAATAGCAACATTAGAAAATACTTGTAAAAAGGGAAAGGCATTTAAAGGAATTCTTTATAGTGATGTGATTTCTTTTTTTTTGCAATCATAAAGCAGTTTTTGACAAACACCTGGCCTCTACTTAAAATGATCCCTTGCAGACCTGGCAGGTTTTTTGTTTTTTTTTCCCAAGTTTGTCCTCAATAGAAACCTTGAAAAATTATTCAAGCTATTGCTGGTATAATCTGTAACAAGGGCCACAGTACTAATTTGGGCATGGAAAGATCCCATGCCCTCATCCCCATTCTTCGTATTTTCAGTTGCTTGAAAAAAAGAGACTCCATCCCTGTAGGATAAGTCTCTGCACTGGGTGTCGCGCAGTGAAGAGCACCACGACCGTGGCTGGCTGCGTGCTGGGGAGGCAACAGGCTTGCCGTGGAGGACCACAAGCAGCACTCCGAATTTTCACCTGTTGCTCATCGCTTCAAACTCACCCTACTTGGCAGCCACCAAAACCCCTTCCCAACTGTTCAGCCCATGACAAAAATAGTGGCAAGCCCATTCTCCCGTGCGCCAAGTCTTGCTCAGGGACGGTCCCCTCATGGCTTTGCCAGCTCCTGTGCTGGATGTCTGGGGAGGAAGAAAACGAGGTGAGGGTGGAGAAGGGGTCCTCACCCTGAGGTGGGCTCAGGGCATCCCAGGGGCAGCAAGGAAGAGCTTGAGGTCCCCATGCTGGGGGTTATACATTCAGGGATGGCTTCGTTTCTCCTTCAGGGGAAGCCACAGACAATGCGTCGAGGGAGCTGGAGGCACCGAGAGCTGTAAGCGCTCGCTGTGGCATGATCTGGTGTTCAAAACATCACCCTTGTGACCAGGCTGGTGTCCTTCGCAAATGCTGACTGGCCACCAGAAGCCCTCTCTCCCCAGCGGGCCCCGGCAGCATGAGTCCAGGCACCTCCAGAAAGATTTTGGTGTCAGACCACTTACTCTGGAGGCTCTTCTGGCCCCATAATTGCAAAACCCACCAATCTGGGCTCTCTTGTGCCTCTGCTCTTGCTTCCCCTCCTGCAGGTGCTCCAGGAGGGGAAGTGCAGCATCTGGCCTTTTCGCCTCTCCCTCTTGTTCTCTGTTTCTCTGTTGAGGCTCACAGGAGGGAAGCTGCAGGGGCTCTCACACCCTCTCGCATCTCAGCTCAGAGTCCTGTCTCACAGGAGGGACCTGCCCTCGCAGGTCTGCAGCTCTAGGGGGGTGCTGCGCTGGCCTCTAGCTCATGGCCCCTCATGGTCCCTTGATTTTGAGTATCCTCCGGTGGGCCACGCTCCCAGCGCAGAGCTTTTGGTGCAAGCTCTGTGTGCTCTCGCTGGGGTGGGGAGAAGGTTCTCGCCAGGCAGCTGAGTTTGACTCTGGGCTTGCCACAGGGGTGACAGTAGAGGTCAGAGCCAGCGCAGTGTGGGCAAATCCAGCCTATTCCCACCCTCCTCCCCCCCCAGTTTCACTTCTAGCATCAGCTGAGCCAAGGATGCTTTGGAGATTTGGAAAAATAAAAGATATTTCAGAAGGCTGGGTGTGGTAAAAATGCACTTGTGACAGAGGTGTGTGGCTGTGTCACTCCCCTCCATTTACCCATGTTTGCTGCGTGAAACCCTCCTGCAGTTGGTGACGCAGAAACCCACGGCTCTTAGGCTGTGCTCTTCAGAGAGAAAGCGCTTTGCACCCTTCGCGTGATCCAAACCTTTCTTAGGTGAGAAGCATAGTGTCCTGCGGCATGGTGAAATCCTGCTGCAGAATTGGCTGTGGGAGGGAGAACAGCTCTATGATGAAGCTGTTTAGCTTCATGCAACCTCCAGGACTCAGGGACTCATCAGCAAGATGGGGCTGAACGGGCAGTTCTCATGCTCACTGGGCTGGGCTTTCCTCCCCACCACCTCCAGAAGACAGCGTGCACACCCTGTTTTGAGGATTGCTGCTCAAAGAGAGTTATATTATATATATATAATGCCACCTGTTGAGAAAGGAGAGGTTCTCCCCCGGTTCCTCCCAGACGCATGGGGAATGAAATGAAATGGGAAATGGCGATTCATTTTTCCAAGGGACAAACTGTCCGAGGATAGCATGTGCTGTCTGACTTGGAAACCTGAAGAAGACAAAAAGCCTCCTCCTATCCCACAAGTGCTTACAGAGGAGGAAACGCAGCACCCTGCTTTTTCCAGCCCCGCTGCCACCAGCTGCAGACCGGCTTTGCTCACAGCTCTTACCTTCAAGCCTCTGCCTGAGCTCTGTACAGCTGAGACTGCAGGGCAGGCAGGGGCAGAGGGAGGTGCTGAGGTTTGGACAACTTCAGCTAATTTAACTCCTTCCTACAAGTCTAGGGCTCAGATGACACTTTCAACCTGTTCCCCCAGCTCCCACTCAGCTGGACACCAGGGGATGGCATGGGGACAACTGAGGACGCCCTGTGGATACCAGAGAGCCGTTTCATAGCAACTGTATTTCTTGCATGTCTTTAAGTGATTTACGGGCTGCGAGGTGGGTATTGGGATCTGGTCACAAGGCAGAGAGGGGAAGATGAGGGGGGCAGCTCGCCCTCTTGCTATTTTGAGATGGGCTGTGGTCACCTCCCCAGGAGACTGTGCTGAAAAGCAGCGAGCACCTGCCTTGGCTCGCAGCACCCTCAGCCCCCATGACGCGCCTCATCTCAGCACCGCGGTGCCCTTGCCTTTCCGTGGAGAGCAAATGTTGCTGCACGGTGTCACCCCTCTTCTCCTCCACTGGGTCCTCCCCTCCCCATGTCAGCACTGACACCACACACGTATCTTCAAGGGAGGCTCGAGACTTTGCTCCTTTAATGTGCAATAAAAAAAGGCAACTCTCCCACGCTCAACAAGAAATCCCATGAGCAGGAGCCCCAGGCTTGGCACCCTCCTCCCCGGCTGCCTTTTACAGTTCGGCAGCCTGTGCAGTTTGCTCAGAAGTTTTTCTCCCCATGTGCAAAGGAGCTCCCGGCTGCTGCAGGGCTGCTTTACTGGCGTGAGATGACTGATGTCTCGCTTCACCCCTGCGCCCACCAGCTGAACAAGCTACCCCAGCAACAGTGCGTTTTCGCTGGTATAACAGTGTCGATGTGAGGGCCTTCTGCTTTAGGGAACACAGCTCTTTGTCCGCAGCACACACAGCTACCCCGAGGAGTCTACAGCGTTGGCCCGATCAGAGGCTCAGAGAGATTCCCCACGCTGCGGCACGACATGGTGGAAGGCATCGGTGGAAGTGAGAGAGGGAGAGGGGATTGCATCAGGGAGAGAGGGGAGGAAAGTATAATAATGGGAGAATTAAATTAACTGCAAAGACTTTGCTGAAGGCACATCCTACCCCGTAGCAGACAGCCCCTTCAGCCTCGGGTACCGCTCACAGCTCAAGCCCCGTGTGCAGCCAAGGGCTTTGGTAACTGGCTGTCATGCAACGGAAACATTCGGGCTGTGGGTAGGATTCTGGATAAACTGATGGGGAGGGGGAGGAAAGGAAGAGGAAGAGAAGGGGTTGTGCATGGGAAGGTGTTGCATACCACAAGCACTTGTGCAAGAGAGACTAGAGCAACAGGGTCCCTCTACCATTAGTGTTCCTCCTCTGCCACCTGTAATGCTTCGCATCTCCATGCTTTCCAGCCTAACAGTGGCAGGCAGAGGGCTGGAGATCCATTCTAGGGATGGGGTGAGGGAAGAGGCAGGCAGGAATGATTTCAGCAGCAGACTGCAGCCTCTCCTGTTTTATCTCTAACTACCTCACTGGAGAGGAGGACGGGAAGCTTCTGCTTTGCCCACACTGTACCAAAAAAAAAAAAAAGCCCACCGAACTCCCACATTCTCTAGCAGCTTTGAAAACCCCTTTCACAAGTCTATTGTGTGACATCCCTAAACACAACAAAGATTATCTGAAATCTGAAAGCAGCTTAAAAATAAAAACAACTCAAAGAGAAAACAGGAAGAGAGTGGAGGAAGGGGACAGAGTCCTTCCCCTGCTGGCCCCTGGTCGGAGGCAAGCAAAACAGCACACACAGCCTCTTGCTCCACAGCGTACCAGTCCATAGCATTCACAAGGCAAACATAGCATCATCTTCCTTTGCTTGCTTCCGATGATGGCTGGCAGCAGGAGGGGAGACAGATGTCCCTGCTGAGGAGCTGGACAAAGTGGGTAGCCGGTCTGCAACTTTTGCTCGCTCTTCCAGAAACTTGTCAAATTCTGGGGCAAGAGAAGAGCAGAGCATTAGCAAGGAGGCAGGTCTGTGGAAAAGCCAAGGTGCTGCCAGAAACAGCTGGAGAAAGGGGTTGGTTGGCAAGGCTTACCTTCGCTGGTGACACCTTTTGCATCCTCTGACTCTCCCTAAGGAAGGAGCAGAGAGGAACGGTTAGAAGCAAGGTAGACAAAGACATCTCCACAGATGTCTGCATGGAGAGAGACAGGACAGTGCTCCCCCAGCTTCCACAATACAGACATGTTAGAGTGGCCCTGAGCCTCAGCTCATTAGCTATGCCTCCCAGAAGGTTAATTGTACTGGTGTGGTATCCCAAACCCTGTGTCCTTGGCTTTTTCTCCCCTGCTCCCTCCGAGCAGCCTGTGCTACATATTCAGCAGTGCCAGTGCTGTTGTACACTGCCTAAAATCCAGCCTCACAGACAACTCTGGCAGGACCACTGGCTCCAGGAAAGCAGCCCCTCACTTACCACGTCAGTGGAGAGCCACTTTTCTATGTCTTCCATGAAATTGGCCTGGGGAACTGGCACCAGGGACAGAAAGAACGAGTGCGATGCGCCCAAGAAACGC